TCTGGAACTCCTTCATGAATCTGTCATATTCATCATAGAGGAGGACCCTGCCAGGAAGCAACAGCGAAGGGCCACGGGGCAGCTCCACCACGACAGCGTGATCAATGACCGGTGCAGCGTCATTCTCGTTCATAGCCATATGGTAGAAGCATCCCAGCCTGATCTGGTGAGCGAAGTGCCAAAGCTCCGGAGGTGCATCGGCAGCAATCCAATCTTCGATGGAACTGGAAAGGACATCTTGAATCAACGTATATTTCCATTCCACCAAGTCCTCAAGATCCTCTTCATAAGAGTGGAGTTGATCATGTTGGTGAAGCTTCTCAAACCATCGGAAAAGCAACGCCCACCCACACATGTTGAACGGCTGAGGGAAAGCATGGACGAAGGTTTGGATTTTGCGGCCAGTGGTGTCCAACCTGCGAGCAAAAATCTGAGTCAGTCGGTGAGCCTTCAGACTGTCTAGGCCGAGGAAAGTGATCTGCACTTCATCGCCACACCGGGTCAGTTCACTGCCAAACCAATGGCTACCAGAGAGGATGGCAAACCACGTAGTGGAGTCAGGGTGAACCTGCGGGAAAGCAAACGTAGACTCATCAAAGTCAGACTCTTGTTCTTGAACAATTGCGAATGATCTTGCATGAGCCTCTTGATCCATGAGCAACCATTTCATGGCATAGAGGAGCTCGTCGGAGGCACACCAGCCATTGGTATTGATGGCAAATTCACACCTTTCTGAGAGATTGGCTCCTGATCTCAAATGCCATGTGACATGATCCGATTGAGGATGTCCACCAGCGAAGATTCTCTGAGTGTTCTCCACCCGGCGAAGCTGCGGATCTTGATGCACCAGAGAAAACACGTCACCATTCTTGCACTCATGTGATTGGAGACCATCAAACGTGGTCCCATTGATGCGCTGGATGAGGTAGGATTGTTCTTGCCGAACCACACGCGTTTGAGGAGTGACGAATCCTTTGAGTTCAATGACTTGGAGATCAATGATCGACGTGAGGTTCTCCAAGATAATGCAGTTCTGCGATGACCGCGGGTCAGATAGGACCCACCACTCGTGCTGCGGCAGCCGAACAGAGCGACCTTCAAGGTGGTGGAAACTCCACTGGAAGAATCCAAAACGATGGAGAATTCCGTGGATTTCTTCAAAGTCAGTCCCATCGGCTCTGGACGTGACAAACACGATCTGAGGGTCCACACAACACAGCACTGTGGGGATCGCATTCTCAATCTGTCCAAAGAGGCCATTCTCGGAGGCGGTCTCAAAGAACTTGATCAACGCAAGAAAATCATCTTTCACACTCTCCTGGTCAAACAATGAGTCCGGCACCTGGATCGTCTCAATCTGATCAACAGTAGCAAAAGGGCACGTAGGTGAGACCTCAGGATCACCAGATATGCTGTTGCTCTCTGCCAGATGGATGGTGGCGACAGTGGTTGCAGCGGCACATAGTTCCCACGACCAGGACAAAAGTGTCAAGTCATTGATGGATTCAATAGCTGACGCTACCACCGGTCCATGCCGAAGGGTGAACTGAGAAGCAGTATGTGTCGCGAGGGGGACACAAGAGGAGAGGAATTGAGCAACAGTCAAGTCTCCATTGCAAGATCCTTCAACATGTTCCGAACCACTGATGGGCGTGAGAACGAACTTCAAAGCACCACCGGCCATCGGGAAAGGTCGAAACGAAAGCCTTTCACAGAGAAGGCTAGCTTTGACAATGGATAAAAAGTTCCCTTCAACAACAATGACAGCATTCTGAGTGGTAAGACGACTGTTCCAGACCTTGTGAACAAGATTCTCAATGTTGAGATGTTCCTGATTGATGGCTTGGAGCCCTACAAGCAAAGCAAGAGCGGCTTGCGGGACCGAAATTGCATTGCCGAAACCATGAAAGGCCTCAATGGGATCCACTGGGAGCGAGACTCTCTTGACCCCCCCCAAGTAAAGCAGCAATACGAGTGGGCTCAATCAGGGAAAAAGAACCCTCATGGACAACAAGCGAAGCGAAGATGCCCTTTTGGGCAAGATGCATCGAATCTAGTTCATGCTGCCTCCCATACATAGCACAACAGGTGGGCAAGGGTTCCGACCTCGAGGCGACCCTGTGCATCACAACATGTTCCCTATCTATCACGGTCGAAAGTCGAGCCTTCTTTGCAGGCGGCAGGAACTGGCGAGAACCATAGACCTCCATCATATTCTCCGTGAGGCGCAAACCATCCTGAAATTCCTGAGGCACAGCGAACGAGTAGAGGGTACTATGCCATGGGACCTTGACCTCGGCACAAAGGCTATACTGACGAGAATTCTGTTCATGCTCATGGTCGGCACGAATCCACACCGAAAGCCATCTATCTCTCTTGTTGTCGGAGAGATGGTGATATTGCACGACCTGTTGCCAGACACGTTTAAAACCCCCCAGCTTAAGAATGTGAGAGACCAACCCGAAGTGGTGATGCTGGCAAATCTCGTCGGCACATTCAAAGATCTGAAGGTTTGGTCTCAAGGCCAGGATGTCAATCACAGCCTCCACGAAGGCAAAACCAGGGTCGGAATTAAGCCCCTGTGACTTTCCCCCTTTGCTCCAAGAGACACAAGGTGGTGAAGCCGTTCCAACCGAGTTCAGAAGAAAGCTCACCTGATGCATGAACGAAATATCATCCACAGGAGTGCAGACTCCAATATGACTGCTTGGGTTCCATGGATGGGAGGATGGCGTCCTCCCCTGATGATACGGTGCACCAACCTGTCTAGACCATTGTTCCATCGTGACTGGATCACTGTCAATGCAAACCTGCTGACCAAGAGGGGGCCATGAGGCATTCTCAAAAAGACACTCACACGCTTGGGACCAACCTCCAAAAGAACCCGAAAACAGGTGAAAAGCATTCACCGGCGATTCCCAGTCCCACTTCGGAGTCGGCGTCAGGCAAACATCCTCACAAAAGACAATGGCATCATCAGTAAAAGACTCAAACTTGCCGAATAGAGTGAGCGAATCACCCGACTCCCAACGCATCGATCGAGAGGACAATTTGGGAATGAACACTTCCCACAACACTTCATTCTTCTCCACAAATCCGATTCCAGGGCAGAAAAGGTTGGGAATAAGCTTCACACCGTCCTCAGCAATGTCCACAATCCTCCCTTGGAGGAGGCACATCCCTGAAAAGCAGACACGGAAGCCTGCCGTCCCGAGAGCACCAACCAGCTCAATCACCCGGGATTGCCAAGGTTCAACCAACTTCGAACGAATCATTGCGACCAAGCGGGGCATCACATCGTCTCTAAACCCAGTCTGAGGCACAAGTAGGCTCGACATCACAAGGACCGAGATGAAGCCTAAAAGAAAGGCGACTTTGTCGACGTCGCACCTAGGTCTACGAGAACCTAGCCAGCGACCCTGGGTGTCTCGTGCACCCTGAGCCCTGCGGCCTTGAACCTGGTGGGCTCATGTCCATTCTGTTCATTTTTGGTGGTCATCCAGGGTCCTGTCGTTGGCAAACGGCATTTTTATAAAAGCAGATCAGACAAACGCACACTCTGACCTTCTCAACAAAATTATTGCAGCATGGCAACCAGGAAAGTTTGTCATCCGTAAAGCAACATCGCATAAGAAACTTGAGGATGCTCGGAATTACCAAGAACTTCTCGAGATTCTGGGTAGATCAAGCAGCGGTGGCATGCCGACAACAAGACCTACCAGTATTCAAAAGTCAGATCTCGATAGCAGATAAAGTAATTTGCCATGAGCAGTCCATAACCCTGGCGATTTGGCTACTGTATATCTTATTGATCTCAACAAGACAACAGAAGTCTCAAAACACTACACAAAAATACTCACGACCGACATATGGTTCATTCGTAGCCATGATGTCAAGTTGGAACGCTAACTACTGTGATGTTCGCATTCAAGGAAGTGTATTTGGGCCGCCGCATTGCCGTCGCAGTATGGATATTCTCAAAGCAAATTCAATGGTCACCACGTGATCACATACCTGAAGTTAACGATCCTGGTGTCACATGGACAGAACTCGCAGTGAGCTTCATGCTCGCCACAGGTATTTCTCTACCCATCCCGATACAGCATACACGATGGAATGTTGAAGCTCTGGATCCAGCAGATACGAGAGTAACAGTTCTTCCAGGACACAAACGATCCTTAAAACTCCAAGCAGAGACCTTTCGCTTAATCCTCCGCCATATTGCCATATTGAATCCTTTGCACAGATCGACCTCATTCCCAATTACAAACTTCAGGATGCAAAGAGCCTAGAAAGACTATGCAGGTTTTAAGAGACAAATTTGTCGGGGTATGCCTTATCGACCTATACTACCAAATTCCAAAGCAACACTTCAGGCAATCATCGACTACCAGGCAGATTCGCACCATAACCCCCCGTTCAATACGGATGCGACCACTGCCGCGATTCCCTCACAATCCCACCACACCAAGAGATCCATTACGAACAGAGATTTAAAAGAACTGAAATGGAAGGTGTGAGATGCAAGTTACGGAAAAAGAAACCGTACGATGTAATACCAGATCCGTATGCCAATTAGCTTCTCTCAACAACATGCAGTGCAGTGCATAAATAAGCGAATTCATATGAATTCATCCACGTGATCCTGTCCTAGTCTTTTGTCGTGTAGCTAGTGTGATTTAACCACTGGGTCCATGACTGTCCATTTAATGTGTCCGTTGATACAAATCATACCTTCGTTGATTCGTTTCATTAGGCCTCTCTTCTCTGTTCACACCCTTCATACCCGGTATCACCGTATACCATCGTATACCAAGGGATGTTGAGGGTAGCGCGTGGAGTGTGTCCGCAAGTCGTGTTAGCCCTGGTCCTGTCGTTTTGACCCACATATGTAAGGCCCAATCCCCCTCAGACGGCCGACTTGGCATCGCTGGGTCCCGTACGAAGCGCCTTGAAAGAAGAAACGCCTTGACATGCCTTGACGCAGCGTCTGTCTCCAGGATGGTGAGCTGGTGGCTCTTGTGACGAGGTCGGACCTGAAAAAGCTCAAAGACTTCCCAAACGCCGCCAAGGAACGGCGTGGTGCTCGGGTTCGCTGGGCGCTGGACGTTTTTTGTTTCTCGTGTGTTTAGGATGGTCCAGAGATCTCCAGGGTTCCTTGGGCACAGAAAAGAAAGTGCCCCAGCTGAACCCCCCATAGACCCCCAAAAGTATAGATTGACTTGCCTATCTTGCCTTGATGAAACATCGCTTTTAAACGAAAAAATACAAAAGGATGAGGGATGCCGTGTTTGTTCAAGGCCTCACGTGGGACCAATCTCACTGAAGGTCGCGCGGGCAATGCAAGTGTGTTTGTTTCGGAGACATTTACCTTTGGGTCATCTACTTACCCTTTGGAGCACTCGGAATATTTAAACAACATTGAGTGCTGAGCGAGATGTAATATAACCACAAGATACCATAAGATACGTAGATGATCACCCTGCTGGATCCCCATGTGGTTGATGCACAATCTTCTTCAGATCCTACTGTGTCTTATCTCAGAAGCCAGATGAACCTATTTGCATGTTCATTTATCATCTGACTGCATAATCTGGCTATAAAAAGAGAATTCACAAACCAAGATATGTCTTCATCACGTTTTCATGTGTTCTGTATGGAACATCAACCACGCTTGCGTCCTGTCACCCCCTCTCATTTTTCAGACCACACAGCGGTTGACAGGATGCGAATCGACAGCTGCTGGTGGGCGCCGCGGTGGAGCCGAAGGTCTCCGAGATGGAGCGCGTGCAGCGGTTGGTCGAGGCGCGAGACGGTCGACTTTGGGGGTGAAGGGTGTCTCCCAGAGAATATGTTGATAGGGGTAATCGTGAATATAAGGCGATGGCTTATATTTATAAATGTGCGTGTATTATTGTGTGCTTGTTCATGTGTGTTGTTTTGTTTATAGGCGAATAGTTTTGGTTGCAATGAGTTTGTATTGACTGAGAAAGGCACACACGAGACACTATATAGATACTAGTAGACATAGATGTCCTTTGGTTCTGGTTGGTTCTGAATCTACTCTTTCAGCACCCAAAGTGGTTCTTTTGTCGTTTGAGCAGTGATGTTTGGGAAGTCCTCTGAAGTCATAGCCGCTCTAAGGTGCAAGTCCCCACTTTCCTCAACTAGCTTTGAATGCTATGGTAGATTCACCTAGTGATTCACCTATATGTATGGCTTTTGAGCACCTTCTTCCTCGGAATAGCCGGCTTTCCAAAAAAAAGAACGAGCTTGGCAGCTGAGCTGGCCAGGCGGGGATGGATGTGCTCTTCTTGGAGGTTCGGACAGCGGGTCTTCTCGAAGAGTCCGTGCATTCTTCGGTTTGATTTGAGGGATCTGCAGGGATCATTGGTTCAAGCATGTAGCCAGTGGCCAGTCTATGTGACAAACAAGTATCCCCAAAAGTGTGAAGGCCTCCCCCAAACACTGCACATCGCTGCAATACAGTCCTGTGAAGAACACCAAGCACTGCACATAGCTTCATTCATAAGTCATAATGCTTCATCTTGATCTCTTTTCCTTTCCGGCAAAACGGGTTTCATCCTGTTTTGTGGGATCTAGTCCAGTTCAAAGCGCCTGGCCACCAGGCTTCCCGAAGCCGCTTGGAGGAGCAAGCGGAGTTCATCCGCAAGGCGAAGCGTGCGCGAGCGAAACCGGTGGGATGAGGCCGGTACAGTCGAGAGTCTTACCCAAAATAGTTGGTCTTGCGGGGGTTCAGTGTTAACCATTGCCATGATTTGTTTGAGGGATTTGTGATACAGGTCACACTTTGTACTTCATGGGGGTCGTATTCTGACTGAATCCACATGCAGAGGTGAAATACCAGTTCCCCGGCTTGGACGTCGTGGCCGGCAACGTGGTCACTCCCAAGCAGGCAGGTGTTGTCGTGTGTCGATGCATGTGTCTCATGTGCTCATGAAGCTATAGGGGGTGGACCCCCTAGGGGTGGTACCCCCCTGAGTGATTTGTTGATGTTCTTTACAACAAAACACAGTGTTTTCGGTTGTGGTTTTCGTGGAGGGCGGAAGGAACATGGACCATCATGGACCTCCAGTTATTTTTCTCATGTTCGGAAGGGGAATATGATGGATTTTTTGTTATAAACGTGGTCTAACTTCTTGCTCCACGGTTTGTAAAGGGTATAGTACTGTATAGGTGTCGATCTCGGAAAGCGCGTATTTTTCTTGGCGCTGGGCGATGAAGCGGCACGTTTCTGTTGTGTCCTGGTTTTGCGATGTAAGTCAAGTCTGTGCAACTATGCAACATAATGAACATCCTACGTGACAAGTTATTCGACAGCTCCATAGCCGATCTTTTGATTGTGACCCATTCCATTCCATGTCAAATATTTCTGTGTCACAACAAGACTCCATAGGGATATGCATGTGATATGTGTCTACCATCGTTGATCCAAGCGTCCACAACGCAGGCCTCTCCGTTGATCCAAGCGGGTGCTGACGCACTGCGTGCACGGGCACCTGGCGGGCGAGCTGTCCTTTCGGGGCGCCCCGTTCTGGGACTGGACCGGAGGACCAGGCTCAATAGATGTTGGAAGCAGCGCAGCTCCAATAGAGCGATGTCTGGAAAAATAAATGTGATGCATCATGAAACGTTAAGGTCCACAAGGTATTTGACAAGGTCTGTTCTCATAGAACAAGCTTCTGGTTATACCTCTCTGAGCCTAGAGCATCTAATTGCAACTTAATAAGGCTTTTCTCCTTCGCGCGGCTGGCTCTGTGGTGGGAGAGGTCTTCTGTACAACTCCAGGCATGACCTCACAAACGTAAGGTTTCGATCGCACTTTTGACGGAGTCTTGGACAGCCTCCTGTGAGGTCGGCATGGGCTGCAGTAGCCTGGACTCTTTACCAGAGGACCAGCGAATGGAGAGAAGGGATGAGAAGGGTTATCAGGGCCACATTGGTAGTGCCAATGTGTGCAGGTGCTATGGTGCCTGTGCTATGGTGCCATGAATTTATATAGTTTGTTGGGCTTCACATTGTAAGTCGCCCCGATTACCCCACCGATCAACCTGCGAATCAACGGACAAACGCCAGGCGCCCGCTGTGGGACGGCCCTTAGGCAGTGCAGTGAGCAACAGCCTGTTTGGAAGCGAGACGGCTGGATGCCAGGGCGGCCAAGTAGATTGGTTTTCAGGTGGGGTTGCCGAAAAAGGCCTTGAGCTTGGTAGAGGACTACTTGTATGAGGATATGGAACCCACATGAACCCACCGTTCTTGGTTGATCATTTGATCATGGCTTGTTCAGATGGACAAACGACGCAGTCGGTCTAGTCACAATGGACAGTCACAATCCAATCACTGCCTAGCCACCCAACAAACGTACCACCCGACCCACCTACCATAACCAGCCAAGCAAGGAGCCAGACAAAGTCAAACAAACTGACAGTATTACTTGATATTATTCAGGTACATCAACGGTACATCCGCACCCGACACAAGACAAGGAGACACAGTAGACTCTAAACACGAGCACAGCATAGCACAGCGCTCACATACCGCCAAGAGAAAAAGGCGAGGCATGAAACACAAGCCGATGCAAGATGTGGGGATGGGTCTAAACCGCGAGGTGTGGCCCAGCATGTAGCTTGAGTATTGGTAGGTCAACCATGGTCGGTATCCAGGTGCCATGGCCCATGTAATCACATCCGAGGTCATGCCCTGCATGAGTGTTATTGGAGATCAAGGTCCCACCGTCCCACCCATGCCAAGGAGGACAGACTGCTGAGGGGAACAGACTTCCGGCAGGAAATCACATCTGAGAGCTGCCTGACCTGCCAACCACCTATCCTCCAATCATGGAAGTGGACAACCCGGTGTTTGAGGAGAATAGTCATCCTAAGGTCCTAAGGTTCATGCCTTCGACTTACAAGATTTGTTTAAAGAAGAGAGTTCCCATGTGCCAGGTGTACCACGTGGCTCGCTATGCCAGTGAGTCTTCACCTCAGGACGATGTCGACCATGTCTCGCAGCGTTTTAGCACAGGTGACCCCGAAAAGAAACGATGGGACGTATGCTGGCAATCCAGTATGCTTGTTTGATCTTGTTTGTCTTTAATGAGTTAATTTGAGACTTTTTTCGGATCCGTCATTGTTTTGGGAGACTCGTGAGATCCTTTGTCTAGGCGAGTTTCAGATGATGTCCTTGATATTGAAATGGGTGTGGGTCAAAGCCAGTGGACCCTTTCCTATTGATCTTCGACTCTCCTGCCCAATGCAAGAGAAATCGCTTTGAGGTTTAAGGTGCCGGTGATAGCCGATGGAGGCGGGTTCGCAGAGATGATGGGAAGATATGGGAAGATCGAACACGAATAATTACGCAGGGACACCAATGGCATCCAATGGCCAAAATCCAATTGACTCATCCGATGGTGGTCGTAGGGTACACGTGAACTGGCTGAACCTTTTGGCGAACTGATCCAACCTTCAAGATTGCCAGATCCAACAAGAACGAGTCGGCTTTTAACTTTTAACCTGCATTTCCCAGGGGATTGAACCAACGTTTGGGGAATTGGAGTTGGACCTTTGACCATGGGGGTGCTGGCCTTCCCAACTTCGCTGCATCAGATTTGTGTCTTATTGGAGAATACTGGAGTTACTGGAAGATGCTTTCCAGTGTGATAGAGCGAAGAAGCTTGCTGTCCGTGCAGATGCCAGGTAGATCAGCAAGGGCTTGGAATTGAGTATGGTGTGTGTTGTTATGTTTTTGTTTGTCCTCTCTCTCTCTCTCTCTCGCAAGGGTTAGATTGGGAGGGGTATTTAATTTTGGATGTGTTTGTTCAATTTTCTTTAGTTTTTTTGTTTGTTTTTCTGTGCTTGTCTTGCTTTTCCTTGCTTCTCACTGCTTCTTTGCTTTTCCATGCTTGTCCTGTTTTTCTGTGCTTGTGTTGCTTTTCAACTTGCTTTCATTGCTTCTTTGTGAATCCTCTTTCTTTCCTTGCTTTTGCTGGTTTTTGTGGCTTTGTTCTCCTTCTTGTCGTCTTTTTGTAGCGTAGTGAGTCTCTTTCGTAGTTTTGTTTCTATGATCTTTGTTGCTGTCGCTTTTGACTAGTTGTTTCTTTGTTCAGTCCTTGAGCCAGGCAGGCGTAATGAATGTTTGCTTGCTTTTCTGTATTCTTTACCTACTCTTGGTGTTCTGCATCAGTGGTGATGCACCGCCGTATTTACTGTACTGTTTAAACAATTTGCAGAGTGCTGCACCTGCCACGAGAGGAGAAAGATAACTTAAAACAACTTAACATAGACTACCTTTTTGGAATTTTCACCAGCTGTTACACATCAGACCACCACAACCCCATAACGGCGGATGCTAAGGGCCGCCAGGCTTTTGCCATCTCACAAAAGACTTGAATGCTTAGATCAGCGAGGTGTACAAACCGCTGACAATGTAACCTTTAAAGATGGAAGGGACCATTCGAACATAGTACATCTTCTGTGAGTCACCCGAGGTTGGATGCTAAGGGCCCCCAGGCTGTTGCCATCTGACATAAGACCTAGATTCCTACATGTTAAGATCAGCGCTCGGTGCTTCCCAAAGTGCACTCCGAGCTTCACACAACGCTGCTCACCCGGAAATCTGCATTTCCAGCTATACCAGCACCAACAAAAACAAGACACATTCTTTAGGAAAACAAAGCATTGCACCAACATAGACCCCAGATAGCAAAAACTTGCAACATGTTTCTGGACTGTGCCCTGCATTGGCAACAGCTTCAAAGCACGCCCAGGAACCTTTTTTATGCCGGAAAAAGCGCCGCGGTACAGCGCGGCGTGTCTTCACTCGCGCACAGCCAGCACCAGCACCCAGCACCGGCGCCCAATCTCCACCACGCACACAACGAGCAGCGGCACCCTGTGTCCGCCCCGCGCACAGCCAGCTCACAGCACCCAGCATCAGCACCGCAGCTAGCACCAGCACCGGCACCCTGTCTCAAAAGCGCGCGCAGCCAGCTCTTTGTTTTTTGAAGTATCCTAAGTAAGAACCCCATAGCTGTCGCTCTCTGGGGAAAAAATACATATCCGGAGTGAGTCAGGACATTGATCTGTCAGGTGTTGCGACCAGTGCAGCGGCGACTATCGCCCTGGCGCACGGCACTCAACTCCTCGAGTCACCAGCGGATGTGGGTTCAAGTTATATTACAGATGAAGACCGACTATTTGTTTTAACAAGCTTTGAGATTTTTCATTTCATCAATGAGTGCAAGAGTCTCCAATCAGTTGGTGTGGAAAAACACCGCTTGAGGGCACTGGAGTTTTGGGCAACTCGGTGCTCCCTCATGGGTTCTGTTTGTTTGTATTTGGAGGGTGCACACAGTACAGCCACATGGACAAAACACGACAAAACCAAATTGCATCAACAACGATAACCCGTGACCTGTAACAGTCAATGAAAAATTATCGTTATTATTGAGAAAAACCTTTACCAACCCCATCATCATCCACTGTTGCAGGGATGGGATACACCCAAAACATCACCCATAAAAACTCTCTCTTTGTACATTGGGATATCATGTTGCTTCGTCACCTTGAATGTCTCTGAGACTTGTCAAACATTGATCGCCCAAAACCACCAGCAAGGCTTGGTGCCTCTGCTGTCATGTGCGGATTGCTGTTGGCAGGGGACGTCCAGATCCGGCGCCAGCGCTTTCACCGTTTCGTGGTTTGGCCGTTTTTGCAACGGTTTCCAGTGTTTGGCCATCTCGATCATATAGAGTGAAGATACATATAGATACATCAAATCTGAGCCCTGCAGGAAGCTGCTACACCGTAAATATTCCGGTCACTCCCTTTGAGAACACAGACATCAAACAGCTACTACTTCCAGATGGCAAAGGTGAGGCTTGGAATGGGAGTGTTTGTTGGCGACATTGGAATTCACATGCAAGCAAGGCCGCAGCCTGGTGTGTCCCACGTTGGTGTTTGGGCCTCCAAACAGATCCATCCTTCTCCAGATTCAGCCTTCATTTGAGAGCTCAAAGCAAAGATCGATTGAGGCGGGAACCACCGAAAGTCCTGGAGATGCCTTCTATCATGATGGCTCCAGGCAGGATCGGGGTCGTTGGTGGTTGTTTTCTGCGGTGGGTTGCTGGATGATGGGTCCTTCATAGCCAGGGTGGTGGGTCGGCGAAGGGTCGTTGGGACCCTCGGAGACAAAGGTGACACAAAATCAGCATCCATGCGGTTGTTGCTTTGGCGCCCACTACTGATTTAATTTGGAGGGTGATTAGATGAATTTAGACGATATTGGATGGTTTATGATGGCGTTGAAGGAATGCCGTTTGGTTTCCGCGAGGCTGAAGCTCTACAAAGGCATGAGCTCATTAGAGGCGCCCGTTTCGGAGAGGGGCGTGTGGACACCATGGATGGGGGGCGTGTTGTAGCATTGAGAAGAGAAACATTGAATAATAGATGGAAAAATATGGACGCCCGATTTCAGAAAAGAAGAACTGACAAAAAATGCCATGACAAGATGCCAAGATTGAACAAAAACAGGTAAGAGCCTCTTTGATAAGGCCCTCATCAAAAGAGAAGGATAGAACAATACTTTAAGGAACCTTATTGCGATGGCCTCCCCGTAATGGCGATGGCCTCCAACCTACTGGCGATGGCCTCCATATTGGTTTTTTGGCCATAGAGTTCACGGATGCGTCATCCCTTGTGTTCATCCCTTGTTCCCCCAAAAGCGCTACTCAGAGGTGGTGCCTTCGCAGCTGGAGGTTGGCATCTCAGTGGACACCCACCGTGCTGGGCAGTGGACCAACGGAGCAACCCGAAACCGGAGCTCCGTTGAGTCCGTTCATTTGGCCACGGGTCCACCCGGTGTCCACCCTTCTTGTTTTGTTTGGGTGGACATTTTTGGAGGAAGATCATCTACAGTTGTATCCATGAGTTGGAAGCACAAAGTAGCAGCGCCGTTGAAGAAGGAGAAGAAGATCATGTTTCAGGTTCATAAGATGACAGTGAACGTTGGATTCAGTTAGTGGTGCCCCTGGTTCCTCCGTGTCGGTGCTGGCGCTGGTGACGTTACCGCGCTACAAACATTGCTCTTGCATTGTACTCTTGTTTTAAGCCATCAAACATCTATTTGATTGCTGCATCACCCCTCAGCTTGAGAGGCACACCATGAAAATAAATCAAGAAAAGTATGCAGAGAAACTCTGTTGCTTGTATCTGGTGATATATATATATATTATATCGGGTGCTTCGTTGTTTGTATCTGGTGTTTCTTGGGGCTGAGCCTGTGGTAGGTTTGAAAGCGTTTGATTGATGCTGATGGAAAAACGGGAGCACAAAATGGATAGGTTGAAGTTCAACATTGAGTTGCCAGCTATTTTGGTTGACCTTTGCAGCATGAGCTGAGCAAACCCCCAACGGTCCTTTTCGACCGGTGGGTCGGGTTGGGTCCGCCCGTTGCTAGCTTTACAAAACGCATTGAAGGCTTTGTAAGGCAAATGCCTGTCATGAGCCTAGAGGTAGACACGACGGTGAAAATTGGATGTTGGCCTTTCTACTCCGGCGGTCACTGTTTGTCTCAAGGCTGTAGGGCGCTGAAACATGCATCACTGTGACAAAGGCATTGGCGAATCATGCCTGCAATATTTTAGTCGCAACGGTTCTTCTAGTTTCGGTGACACGGCGCCAATCCAAACCTGACAAGCTGACAAAAGCCATGCACACAGCTACGGCAATTCGCAACAGCAACGTGAACAGTGGAGGTGGGCTGCTCTGAAGGAAGCCATAGTGAAGACACAAGTTCAAAGCAGGAGAGAGGCCGCCTGCGACAGAGGCTCCAAGAGCCCGAAGGTCACTTCAACATGCACGTGCAAGAAAAGGCCGACCAGTTCCAAGAAGTTATGACAGATCTTTGACGAGAACAGCGAGCTGCTCCTTTAGAACCAAGCTCTGCAGCAAAAGAACAAAGACTTAGAAGCCAAGAGCCAGAGAAGCGGGCTTGGTCTTCTGGTGTCCGGGCTGGTGGCGGGCCCGGGGCAGGCCTTGTGCCCGTGGAGCCTGTTGGGCGCCTCGCCATGTATATATATATATATAATACAACATAATATAATATATATTCTATAGACTGAGGCAAAGCAGAGCCATCGAGCGAAAGTTTACGAACCCCTGTGCGACACACTGTCTCCCTCTCACATATCATGTATATATATATATATTACAACTTCTGACATTTCTATTTGATGGAGATAGGGACAGAAGAGAGCCATACTAAACCCTTGTTCCCTTGGAACAGACAGAATAAGAAGATATAAGAAAACAACAATAAGAACAAAGCAAGACGAGGAGGAAGGTCAAAAAAAGACAACATGAAACAAGAGGAAGATTTGAACGAGGCGCAGACGCGGCGCAGACAAAGTAGACAAAGGAAGAACAAAGCACGTAGGAACGGGTAAACGACTCCTCGCCTGATATACCCAACTTCTGGTAGTCGATGTAGTCAGAGACAAGCACCACGGAGCGAAATTTTACGAACCTGCGCCCGCGACACGCTGCCGACACCCTGTTAGACATAACTTCTGATAGTATGTTTGACTGTGATAATGACAGAAGGGAACCATAGAGCTATAGCAGGCCGGCCTGGTCGACGTACTTTTGCTGCTTGCTTGATCTGAGCAGGACACATGATGGAGCTGCCCTGACCACCCTGATCTTCCAGCTCGATGAAAGATGTGATGTTCGCGTTGCAACGGGTTGGGTGTTACCAAGAGAGCGCTTACCCTTTTGTACTGGCATGGCGCTGTGAGAGTGCGTGCAGTTCGTTGGAAGAGGAGCATATGGAAGAACCTGAGCCTGCAAAAGACGTTGATCCCAACAAGCTTGTGGAAGCACTTGCCCACAGACTCCGTCAATTGGATTGTAAAGTATTGGAACTGAAAGTGATGGAGTGTTAAGGCGCTGTGAACATTTTTTCACTAGACTGCCAGGCAGTGTTACAAAAACAAAGTCGTTTCATAAAAGGTGCTGCCACATCTGGAGCGCAACTGCGTACGATAAGTCTATACTGGAAGCTTGCAGGAAAGAGTGATGCAAATTGTGCAAGCCGCAGTGGCCACAGGTGAACTTAACCCGGTCCTCCAGGTTTTGTCTTCTCGAGTATGAAACCACCCCAAGCACATTCGCCAAAGAGGGCGGGCGTCATTGGTGGAGATTTGGATCTCTGCCATCGCCCCTCCACTGAGGCTAAGAAATATAGCCAGCAGGGTGAGGATGCAGGCCTAAAGAGGCTGGAGATCAGAGATGTTCGATGATGTTGGCCATGGTTTTGGGCCCCGCTTGCACTGTAGTAGTTGCAAAAGTGGAGGGTGCAAACTTGTGCAAACTATGATCACCTGGCGTGGACCTCAGCGACTTCGTTGGATCGACCCAGCCAGGTTTGATGGCGGCTGCTGTTGTGCGGTGGTGGACCGAGGGTCACGTGGCGAGCTGTGAGACGGGTCGCATACCAATGCGACGGGTCCCCCGAGTATTGGGGGTGATTCTCGTTGGCTCTTCCAAAAAACAGGTCTATATATATATAATATGTCTTCTGAATTTTGCATTTTTGTAAAGACTATGAGTCTTATATAATATGCTTTCTTCTTATATATTCTATAACAGGTCATTCTTTGGCCCACTATGACTCGTGGACATGTTGGGTCATTCCCAGAGGGTCCTTCTCACTAAATGAGTTTTGATTCGGCAAATGCGTGGGTCCGGCATGTCGACGTTTTACGCGATGTTTGTGCATTGATTGTGCTACCCTCGGCATCCCATTCAAGGGGCATGCGACGATTATTACTTTTTGTGTGTGTTCTCAAGCTTTGGTGATCAATAGCATCAATAGGCGCCAAAAGTGATGTTCCAGATGTCCCCAAGTTTCTTCGGTGCAGCATGGTGCTGGTCCTCCGTGTTGGGGATGTCTTCGCCACCTCTACAAGTTCTTCGTTGTCATTGGCAGATGATGTTTTTGGATTTAGTGGCACCTCAGGTTGCCACAGACTTGATGGATGTTGCCACTGTCACCGACTCTCACCTGTCACCAGCAATTCTTATGGTTTCATCTTCCGGCCGCGAAACTGCAAAGCCGACGGGAGAAAAACACTCATCACAACTTGGCATCGGTCGGGTTCTACCAAAAACCGCCGAGGCCTGCCAAACCTCTCATAGCTGCCATGCTGGATGGCGTAAGAAAGGATTTCAAAAGGCAGGGACGGAACTGGGGGACGGAACCTTAAGACCGTTTTACCCGCCTTTTAGACCGGTGAATATGATTATTCAAAGGAGGAGTTCTTATTTCTTTCTGGTTTTCTTTACCAGTCAACTCAGTCAACTCATGTTTTTTTTAAACATGAAACTATATATGTCTACAGCTCGACTATAGACTATGATCGACTGTCCACAGCTCCAATCTCGAATCAAATCGTAAGATTAATCTGAATTGTGTAGAGGAAGAACGATTTGCAAATCATACTTTGCAGTTGTTTTTTTTTGCACATTAGAATTAGAGTTGCATGGTGAATTCATGTGCTTGCAATTTATCTTGAAAATCCAATGCCTTCGAAGCAAGCCACGAAAGCCACTCTTTTCCAACCTTTCGATTCCCAATCGTTCCAGGTTGGGTGCTCAAACAGTCAAGGAATTGCACGAAGATCTCTACACCATGAAGACTCGTTTGGGATGCCCAGGATCTCTACACAGTCTGTGACTCTTGCCGCGACGTCTGTGGATGCCTCGTGTGACGTCCGTCCGGTGAGATGCGTGACGGGTCTCCCGAGGCTTCCAAGTGCGCTCGGCCGCGGCCTTTACGGCTGGGCGCAGAGGCGCCTTGGCGTGAGGCGGAGGAAAGACAAGGAGTATGGGATGTATATGGATCTGAAGCTGTAGGATTGAGCATCAGTTGTTTTCATTGTTTTGCAGCCTCAATGTAGGATGCAAAGCAGATCTTTCACCCGTTTCTGTGTCACCCCTCTTGGATTGGCTTGCAGCAAAATAAGGATATTCATGCACTTGAAAAGTTTTTGCCTCCAGACAATCCCGGCCGGCTCTAGTCCTAAGTTTGGTGTGCGACATGTTTCAACTGCAGCCAGGCAGCCAGACTGGGCCACAGAACATAACATAACAAGTTGAGCGCAGGAGCCATCGATGGACTAGCTTGGAATCGTCGAGTGACACAGCTGGAACAAACAGTCCCACCATGGTCCCATCCATGTTTTTGTGTTAAAACGAACCACCCACTGTGTGGAAGGGCTTCTGAGGGGTGAGCGGATTGATCGCGAGTTGAGTGTGGGAGGGTTGAAGAATGGTGAAGATCAGTCTCCCACGTTTGTGTCCTCTTCATTTCTCTTCAACCAATCTGAAAAAGCACCACCTCAAGCAGCCAAGAGGGGCGAGCTCCACCGAAGAGGGAACCAACCCCACCGCCGTCTCACCACGTCTCACCGTTGCCCCCCGGTCTCACCAATGGGTGGGACCAGCGGAATTCGGGTGGGACGGCGAACTTGTGCTGCCGGAAACGGTCGGTGGTGCCGGTCGGTGAGTGCGGTCGCTCGGCGAAAAGATCCAACGAGTGCGGAAGACACCGGAAGCGCGACCTTTGTCACGCAGTCACGCGTGATCACGTCACCAAACACTTAGTTTTGTGGAGTGTGTTGGGTGATCCCATCGGTTTTCAGGGGCACAAGTGAAACATGGATAAACATGGTATAACATGCTGATGTTTGACCAGTGCTGTGCCAAGCTAGGCTTTTGAGGGTGTCCATTGGCTGGACTCGTTCTTCCTCGCAATGCCACTGAAGATCTTTGCTGCCTTCCCAACCATGGCCCTTCGTTGCATGAGAAAGCATGGACTACCCTACCATACCGTTGGGACGTTGCTTGGGAAATGGCATGGACATGGCCATGAAACAGACGGGGAAAAAACAGTATCAATCCCCCAACAAGAATCCACAAGCATCCTAAGTATGCCCACGTCATTCTGAAGACGTCCCAACCGGTGGTCCACTCTTCGGCCCGACCTTTCGGCCCGTGTGGTCGAAGCGAACTGTTCGGAACAGATGACCTGAATGAAGGGGTCCGCTCCATGTGCGTTTCACTTGATCACCAGCGTTTTTGAGGTCATGGGCCCAAAACCTTTGGTATGCAAAAGGGTTTTATTTGGACGAACCATGACCAAAATGAACCTGAAGAATCACAGATCGGAGGCCGAGATGATTTTGAGGGTGACTTTCAGTCTAATATCGATAAGTAGTTACATTTTCTAAACTAGATACTTGAATATGATGTTCACTGGTCATGTTGCTTTGTACTGTAATTACTTTGAAGGCCCCGTTTGGCCAGTCTCATAAGCAATCGGTGCACCGGTGCACAAAGCCAGCGCCATGGCGAGAAGCAGCAATGACTTTGTGCGACACCCAGTGGACTCTGACTCAGCAAGCGTGAGTTGAGTTGTCAATCAAAAATGATCTTGGCACGCCGTAAAGAAGCCTCCCTCTACGGCACATGGCATATGGTATGATAGGGTCAACCTACGTCAACCTGCCACCCGAACAGGTTCATGTTTGATCCAAACATATCCAAACCATGTATATATTATAACTTAAATTGATATCGATTCCAGTTCAAATTCTTGAGGTGCGCGGACCCGGCCGTGCGCGCGCAGCCTTTGAGGTGGGGACCCAGGTTGAAAATGGGTGAAAATAGATATCAGGTCTATCTAGCAGTACTCTCTCTCAGATGATACTTCAGGTGCTTTCTTGCCCGTGGTGGTGCCACCTGGCGATACGCTAATTTGGAGGAACCTCCCAAAGACCTTTGGAGGGACTGGCCACTGCCACCCTGACCGCAAGGCCGAGAATTTCGGGAAGGACTATATCTCGTTGCGAAAAGGACTGAAAACCATCGCCCAGCTTTCGGTATGTGTCGGTGTTTCCAGTGCGTAGTGTTCGAGGAGGTTCTAAACTTGCAGCCCCCGCAGAACTTGCGGCCCCCTCAGTTTGACTGCATGGCCATATAATATATATATATATGCCCCCCCCAAGAAAATAATCACAATATACCTGAATCTTCCTAGGGCTGCACTTTTTGCGCCTCTAACCTAGAAGGCGCCTCTAGGAACTGAGAGGCAAGTTTTTTTGCAAGAGGCAATTCTTGGTTTACATAGATTTCTTCGCAGTTATGTTGATAGAACATATGATAACCATGAAACTTATGCACTTAACATATAGGGAAAACACTACAAACCCCGAACCATGAAACAAAACAAAAATTGTATGAATTCAAAAGATTAAACACATGATAAAACATTAAGCACATGAAGGAAAAGCAAACACACAGCGAGCACACAAAACATGAAACTCGATTTATATGAACTGCTAATAATTGTCCACTTGGATTGGCCTGCGAAAAAGGAGCCCCACAAGTCTGGTTTTCACCCTTCAAAACCTGCATTTCAGGCAAGTCGAAGCGGACTTGTGGGGGTCTGTTTGCAGGCCAATCCAAGTGGAAAATATGATAAACACACATGAAAACATCCCTACCCCACTAACCATGGTTTTGGGGGGGGGGACCTCCCAAAATGTAAGTTACGATTTTCGGGGGGTCCCCAGCCCAAAAAAAACTGTAAGTTAGGGACCTCCCAGGTATGTACGGTGAACTGTTTGGGAGGGGGTGGGGGGGGCCCAATAAATGTAACATTGGGACCTCCCACGTGGGTAACTTACATTTTGAGACTTCGGATGTCTACTTAATTATTGCAGGGGGGGGGCAATGAAAAATGTAACTAAGTGATCTTGAGGCTGCAGATGACTCTGCTATTTGCATCTATTTGCACTGCCACAAGCCATTGGCTTGAACAAATGCAGAAAGTGGCTACACGCATACTAAAGAATACAGAGATCCTCCACATCTCACCGAGATGATTCGATCTACAGAGAGAGAAAAAGAAAGAAAGACTTCCATAGCCAAATATTCTTGCTCCATCTTGCTCCGCCATGTCGGCCGAAGAGTTCTCCGGATGGTCTTTGGAATCGCGGATGCGTGAAAGTGGCAGCACTGCTGGTACGATTGATTGTCACGCTGCCGCCATTATAATATTTTGGAAGCGCGAAATCACATACTCACATATAAAGCTTGTTATGTCAAGGAAACTTAAAAAATGTAGCCTTACCAGGAGAAGCACACGTGGCTCTCACTGTCAGAAAGAATGTCTTTGTTCTTTGAACTCATGGACGAGATCGAGAAGAGCAAGAAGACGCACCACCACAGCAAGGGGGTCTTCCACCGTATCAGTGGGCCACTAGGCTTGGATAGCCTAGAATGCCATAGAATGAAGCAGCTAGGATACTGCATGAGCCCGTTGAGGCACATCTGAATATCATTTAATATCTCTACATGTCCTGCTCAGGTTCATTCCTGGCCAGAAGGACAAGGATGGCGTGGACCTGTGCCTCAAATCACTTAGGCAGTTCATCCGGCAGGTGGATCATGTCGTCCCGAAGATGCTGCTGGCAAATTAGAGATGCTGCATGTTTTGGGGTTTTGAGGTGCTTGCTGGGTTGAGCACCGCTCAGCATTGCAGAGCAATACGCGAACGCAATGCATAGACAAAGCAGAAGCAGAATGAAGCAGAGAGAAAAAAGAAACAAGGCTGTTTGATGCTGTTTGCATACTTCGACATACGTCAGCATGGAGATTTTACATTTTCCTATGACAAAGGAAAAATGTAAGCTTACATTTTTGAGGTCCGAAAACATAGGAAAATGTAAGTTACATTTTTGGACGTCCCCCCCTCTTAATTTGAGGGGATATGAAAACCACATTAAACACATGAAAGCACAGGAGAGCCACATAAAAACATGAAACATATAAAAAACACGAAACACGTAAAAAAATGAAAGTACATGAAAAACATGAAAGCACATGAACAACATGAAACATCAAAAGCATGAAAACACATGGGAAAAACGAGAGGCGGAACTTCCCGGGTAAGAGGAGGAACTTCTCCGGTAAGAGGCCGAATTCCCCGGTCAGGGGAAATGGCGTGTCAGCTTCCGTCCCGTGTCTTTTCGAGTTCAACCCTGATGGCTGGTTTGACGATAGTGAAAGAAGAGAAAGATGTGGACAAACTTGATGGTGATGATGCAACCCTGATGTCAGAGCTCCAGCGGCTGCAGGTGGGGCTGTTCGTGAGTTTCTATAGGTGTTGATACTCACCTCTAGTCAGTGGTTTCGCCTGAACATTTCCTGGTTAAACATGTTACCTTTGTTCTCTCCCGGTTGCAGCTCAGGTTGCACATGCAACAAGTGCCTACTCCCATGATTTCTGCCTTGAAAGACCTCCAGACGCCAAACACCTCGGAGAGTTACGCTGGGCCTGATGATGAAACTCAAACAGCCAAATAGTTGATTTGGGTTTGGACGTAGTTGCTAGCAAGCATGATGAATTTCTGTTTGCTTGGGATTGACCGATAACCTTATTCCCTTCAACCAGAAAAACACAAAAGGCTGTTTTTTTCTACAGCAAGCGGCAATTCTTGAATGGAGAGGCTAACCTTTGAGCCTCGTTGTTAAGAGGCTGAGAAAAGCAACCACCGGAGGTTCAAGTTATATATCAAAAATTCAGTATAATGTTTGAGCTTCAGGAGTGGGCATTTGGAATTTTCTTTGGATGTGATTCTTTGCGGTTTGCGGGACGCCTCCTGCTGACATCGTCTCCCCAGTAGAAAAGAATAGAAAAGACAACCTTGTGATATATTATATGCTTATATATCTTGTATACTGGCGCTGGATTGCGTACTTTGACACTTTGACTCTTTGGGAACAGTTTACAATCAAATGCAGAGCTTGAGAGCAGCAAGCAAGGCTTCCTAGACTTACCGCCCCGCTGCTGGAGTTCATTCCAATGGAGGGGAGGGATGCATCAAGATTTAGATGATTCACACATGTTTTTTTTACCATGATTATCCAGAAAGTAGGAACACAACAGCACAAGAAGCCAA